TGGATAGATCGATGGAATATAACTCAGTTGGTTTTACAGATAATGAGCTAAACGTTGTCATCACAGTAGCTGAGAGGCATTCCGTTCACATACTGAGAACAGACCACGAGACCTTGTGTGAGAATGTGAGAATTGCTAATTTTCAAGATTTGACTAGTTTCCAGTCAGGTTTTCGTAGAGCTCATTCTACTGAAACAGCTCTTCTTAGGGTCTCTAATGACCTTCTGACTCACAGTGATGCAGGGGACTGTTCTGTTCTGGTCCTGCTGGACCTGACTGCAGCCTTTGACACTGTTGACCATCACCTGCTACTGGAGAGGCTGAGAGACTGGGTAGGCCTGTCAGGATCTGCTCTGGAGTGGTTCTCCTATTATGCTCAAATTTCCCTCTGGGGTTAATAAAGTATTGATTGATTGATTGATCGATCTGTCTAAGCTTTCCTTCTCTGTGGCCATCTCCAAGTTTAGGTCCTCCACCACGTTCCTTACCCACGGTGTCCCACAAGGTTCTGTGCTGGGGCCTCTGCTCTTCCTCCTATATCTGCTTCCCCTTCAGCACATCCTGAGCTCCTTCAAAGGAATCTCCTACCATCTTTACGGAGATGATATCCAACTGTACATCTCCTTTAAGCCCCATGGGATGTCTAAGCTGCAGCTGTTACACACCTGCTTAGACTCTATCAAAGCCTGGATGGTGGGAGCTTTCTACAGCTGAATGAAGATAAGACTGAGATCCTCATCTGTGCCCCAGACAAGCTGGTTCCCAAAGTCAGAGACTCTCTTGGTCTAAACAAAACCCCAGTATGTTAGCTTTCTCTGTCAAAATATTTAAACATAACAAGAAGTGATTTATTGGGTAATTTCTTTATGAAGTTGAGTAACAGTTACTAGGATATAGTTAATAAAGAAAATAAAAAAACATCAGGACCTTTCTTCTGATGTGCAGCAAATGCAGAGAGATTTATGATTAATGCTGAGTGGAGTCCAGATTATGTCTAATCTAATCTGTGACGGAGACATTGTTCTACCCTGCTGATCCGACCCATTCACTTTAGTGACACGTTTTGGGGACCCAAAGCAAAATAGGGCATTTTCAGAGAATTTAGTGTCCCTGGACACCCAATAAAAGCTCTCAAGTACAAAAACTGGGATTTTATTTCCAACATGTACTGAGGATATGACCTCACTTAGAGTGTGATTTTTGGCCCTAAGCAGTCCTAGCTGGGATGTGTAAAGCGTTAGGAAGAAACATCTCTCGTGTATTCAGTGACTTAATGAAGTGGGACAAGCAGCACATAATGCTGCAAAGTTCCCTTCTTTCACTACGTCTGACGCAAGCCTTCCCTCCTTGCATGAGGGGTCACTTTTCACGTAGAGAACAGCATGTTCCCTTCAAGAACACTCACACGTACCCCCATTATCACCTGCGGCGGTTTGCCTCCTCTTCTCGGTCTGCAGCGCTGTAATGGCCCGGTGATTCCTTTCTGAAACACAGGCTGGGAGGAACTGAAGTGAGTCTAACCAGGACTCATGCATTTTGTGGTCTGGGGTTGAATGAGGCCTACAGAGGTGATCCTTCTCTGGCTCAGTGTGGAGATCATGAAGAAGAACACAAGCAGTGATGCTAGAGCTGCAACATATTTAGCCAAATGTGTTTTTTTTTCTTTCTTTAATGAGCAAAGCAATGTCATTTTTCTCTTTGGCTCTTACTCTGTAAACACGTGAGCTGATCTGCTTCTTGCTGTCATTACACTTCCGTTAACGCACACCTTGATTGAATTAGCAGCATATTTTTTACACTCTCTTTGTCTGTTGTCATCAAACAGAGAGTGACCCTGAGGATCCAGAGGATTCGTCTCAGTCTGCCTCTGAAAAGCGTGAAAACACTCATGTGCAAATGCTTTGTGAGTTTGTGCGACATCTCTGAGCTGGCAGCATAATTACAGAGGATACGCCGGAGCGTCTGTCTGCGTAGGTGTGCATGTGAATGAAGGTGGGGCCACCTTTCAGAGCTGTCTGAGGATGTTTCTGCTTGTGTTCAGCCTGTTGGGAAGAGCAGGATTCATGATAGTCAATCTGTTTAGATTCTCTGTGACCTGAGAGCGGGCCTGGAGCTTTAAACTACACAGAACAATCGTTTTTGGGCTTAAGAGAGCACCGGGGAGTAGATGTGAACCCCAGGAACGAGAGAAGATGCTGCTCTGACTCTCTACAGCTAGTCCTCTAAATTTCCTCTGAGTCAAAACGCTAGCCCAGAGAGAGAAAATGGAATTTCATCAAGACCCAAAACACCACAGGCTTTTCCTCAACAAAACTAGACAGTCCTGAAGAAAAGTTGTTTTTGTTGGTTTATTCTCCGGGGTCATTACCTCTCGTCTGGTTGCATGTAGGCAGAGGCGGTTTTACCATTAATAGGCATAGGTAGGCGGCCGCCTGGGGCCCCTTGTGTTGGGGGGCCTCCTAGCCCTGACCACCGGCACCCCTCTGTTAATGCCACAATATTCTTATTACCAACCTGTCGCCGCAGACGGGATTGGACATGATTCTCGTTACCATAATTCCTGAACCGTTCAAGATATCATTAAAATTCCATAAGTGCTGAAAAGATTAAAAATGGGGCTTTTCGTGCATATACAATACTTTTTGGTAGTCACCGGGATTCCCTGTCTTGAGCGCAACGAATCACAACACAGATTCAGAGACGTGCTGAGTTTGTCATCCAAAATGCTCCGTTTTATAACTTTTGAAAGGCTGATCAGATTCAAATAATTCCAATGGTTCCTAAAAGTACATAAAAGCATCTGGTAACACTTTATAATAACTACATCTTATTTAGCCATAATTACACATGAACAAACATGTAAGTAACTACTAACAAATAATTAATTAACAATGACTCTTACTTAATAAACAATTAACAATTAATTAATGCTTTGTTTTTAATGATTAGTCCCTTGTAAAAGCTGTTTTCTCATTTCTTATTCATATGTAACAAACCATTAACAAAGTACTTTTAAGCAACTGACAAACACATTAATTAATGCTTAACTTCTAATGACTAGTTTCATGTAAAAGCTGTTTATTTATGGCTTATTCATACTTAACAAACCATGAACAACGTTCTTATTAATCCATTTATGCATTATTAATTAAGTGGATAGCTAATAGCTAATTAAGCCTATTTTGAGACTCTTTCTAAAGTGAAGACTATTTATGCGTAATTAAATATTTGTTAACATATTTATGCTTTCTATGGACCTGGTGTCCGTACTGAAGACTATGACTTCAATGAAAAAAGAATACATGACACTGGAATGAGGGAAATATCCTTTGTATTTACATTTTGTAAATTTGTATAACATACTGTATTTATATCAAACAATGAAACAGTGCCTCATCAACATACATAGCACCTGCACTGGCTAACACTAAATTATTATAACAAACTAAAATATGTGCATAAGTGCAAATAAAGCAGACTCCATCGAAACATGTAAAGGTAAATAAAATGCTTGATCTGTGGTTCTGAACGAAAAATGTATGTTTGAAGAAAAAAATTAAATGAACATTACAGCAGTACATAACAGATTTGTTTACCTTTAGAACAATGCTCATTCAAATAATGTACAGACACCAGGGGTGGTACTCATCACAGTAAGTTTAGAACTGATGTATTTGTGGTTGTAACTTAATTTTACAGTGGCTTGTTTCTGACTGAAAGCTGACCTGATATTTTTGTAAATGGTACTAAATGTGAGAAGTTTGTGAACCACTGCTTCACATTATTTATACTTTCTTGCAATGTCATGTATTAACCTTCCAAATGCCTCACCTGGATGCTTCTTTGCAAGCCATTCATTCCATTCTATGACAGCAAGGTGGTCAGAAAGTGAAGTGTCAGTCCGATTACCCCGAAGCCTCCAAACCTGTTCTTTGTATGTTCTCCATGCCCGTTCAATATGTTGAGTATGTGCTCCTGTGTTTGGGTCTACATAGCACCTGCTATGGTTAACTGTATGATGGGTGTATCCAAAAGTACTAAGTACACGGTATGCACGCCACTCATCACTGATTATTGATGACCCTGACCTCACATGACGAATAATTAAAGGGACTAGATGCTTCCTGGACCTTTTCTCTACAACACGCAAAACAGGCTTGTGGTTTCCATTGTTCTGTCTTACGCCTAACATCCCAAAGACCCACTTCTTTCTTCTCCATCCACCAGTCATTCGTCCTCTTCCATACTGAAAAAAAATGTAAAAAGAACAAAAAGGACTAATTTAATTCATTATTTTACTCATGGTTACAGTAACCATATTAACACAAATTCACCTTTCTTTTGTGTCGAAAATGGCTTTCGTCAATCACAACAAACTCCCCTCTTTCTCCAATGCGTTGACCTGTGCGTCTTCTCATCCTTTCAACTGCAGTCACACAGATGTCTCGGATTTTTTTGGCCAATCTGCTCAGTGTTGCAGAACTGCCTGCGATTGTGTCGTCCATCATGTCAATCTGCCTCAACCTTAGACCCTGTGAAAATCTACAAATAAAAAAATATATAAATTATTTAAGTACAATACAAAAGCAGTCCTAATTTTATACCAACCTGTACATGAAAATAATCCAGTTTCCTAAAGAGACTTTGGATCTTGAAAAGACTGATTTGTCCCTGATTGATATCTGTTTAGGCCTCCCCAGGTGTACTGGATGGCAGCAAATCCTATATAAAGTGCACACCACAGAAAAAAATTAAACTTAGCAAGATAAAAATACAAACAAAGCTTAAATATCCATAAAGAAACTTCAAAAACACTCAAATTTCAATACATATATGTGCCCTGATTTGTGAAAATTCTATGCCAACTCAGTAAATGTATAAATCAACTAAATGTAAATGAATAAAATAGTTTCAATAAACTCATAATTTGATGCAGAATATGAAGAAAACAGACTTGTAATTAACTGTACCATGGTTTTAGGAATAAACTAAATGCTTTGTTTGTACTTGCTGATTTAAAATTGCGTTGAACTACAAATTGATAATGATTTAATTCCAAAACAATATTTTTTAATTCATAGAAAATTTTTTTATATAATATATTTCATACCAAGCATACTGATCTCCAGTGTTTGATCTCCTCTTCAGTTTCATGTTCTGATGACAGCCTCTGCACTTAATTTTGCTCATGACCATCTTCTACTTCTGGAGCCACTTGATGAGTTTCAGTGACTTTCTTTTTGTCATCTCATCATTTATAAGTCTCCTGAGATGCGTGAACCGGGTCATGTTTATCCTTCTACCTGCATGTCATTCAAAGGACTGCAACTGGCGCGTTGTTCAATGCGCATGCGCTGTGGAAAATTCCCGCTCTTATTACGGTCTGACTTTGGTTACGTCATCAAAAGAGGACGGAACATACTCTGCCGTTCATACGAGTAAAGCTGAAACATATGTTAACAGTGCAGGTATGCCACCAAAGCGTGTTCGAAAAGCCATTCAGACCCGTGCCTGGGTCACCACGTTCCATTCCAGTGAGGAGTCTGGCACGGAGAAAGCGACGAGCAGTCAAAAAGGCAGTAAGTTGTTTGCTTTTCTTGAGATTTGCTAACGAGCTAATTAGCATGGGGAGCAGCTACCCCGGTGTCACGTGACGTGCTCGGCTCGGAGCAACGCAAACCCCAGCTTCACTTGCAAGCCTCAAACCGGAACACATTAATGCACAAATGTTATTACACAATTGTGTAAAATACACATACAAATGTAATATTACAGTGTGTCCGTGTATGGTTTGCTCAGTCTTATAGATCATTTTCTTTTCAATACAATGGTTGCATTGTTTTTAATGATTATAATTAGAGTTCTTGCTCACAAATGTGCTAGAAACTTAACATAAAACATGTTGAATACAAAAACGGCACAAAGTAACGCAGTGTCTGGCAAGGTAAGACATTTTAGCTTGGAAATAATTGTCCTTAATCACGTGTGTGTATATATATATGTATGTATTGTGTTTTTTGCAAGTTTATTTTTATTAATTGAATTAATTATCTTGTTTCCAATGTTGCTTACACAAGTCAATGTAGCTTTTTAGTTTTCTTTAAGTTTATAAGTGAACTTCTCTGTGCCCACTGTCTCAGGTGTTTCAACAGCCCCAACTGGTTTGTTGGTTGAAAAAAGGCCCAATGAAATTGAAATGCTGGAGATGAAGGTGCAATGGCAAAATGAAAAAATCAGTGAGCTGACAAAGAAACGAGACTTTCTGAAAGAACAGTTGGCATCAGGTTACTCTCACTACAATTAACTGAATGTTGCCCCTGAATTTTTATATTTGCTCTAACATTATAACTATACAGTTAGACAGTTTCATAATTAATTTTCCTTTTTATATTGTTTTACAGTTCTCAAAAAGGACACACCCTCTGAAAAGGATTCAGAAGACACAAGAAGTCTTTCTTCAGACACAACACAATGTTCGTCTGTGTCTTCAGAGTGCTCATCACCACTGTCCTCGGATGATGACAAGAAGAAGAAGAGAAAGACCAAAAAAAGACTGAAAAAGGAAAAGGCAAAAACATCAAAGAAGATTAAGGACAAAGATTATCAGAGGGGCAAAAATGTTACAAATTTGAGTTTTATTTGAATATTAATTCATTCAAGTCATTGTTACATTACTTTTTTTTTTTTTGACATTTCTAATCTGGTTATGTTTTCTGAATTTTGATTCCAGCCCAATCTCCAAATCAGGTTGTGTCCAGGTACCAATCTCTGCTCAAGCTTTACAGGAAAGGGGGGACAATGGCCCGAGCATTTAAGCGCTACGGAGTGGATCGGAACACCATCGTAATAACCGCTCCCATTGCAGAACTGTCAATTGCTGCACCGAGAAAGTATGCAGAAGTCTTACAAAACTACAGCAATCAGGTTAAACTCTCTGTGTTTGCAGCACACTGTGCATTTGCAATTGCAGAGGATCCAGAGGTAAAACAGCTGGTTAAAGACTACAAAACCAGTGGAAAGCTACTGCCTTTTAAGATAAAGTAAGGAAATACTGCCTTGTTTTCCATCATTGGTGTCTCGAGTATTTCACAGTTCTGTTTACAGTATAAGAATGACCACTGTCAAGATACTGATTTACTGTTGCCCGTTCAGAGTTCTGTCTACAACAACTATTTGCACTGATAAAAAATAAATATTGTTATGAATATTTTGTGTTAACCACTGCGGGTGTTGATATTTTTATGTTCATTTAGTTTTTTTTTCTTCAAACATAAATATTTCGTTCAGAACCACAGGTCAAGCATTTTATTTACCTTTACATGTTTCGATGGAGTCTGCTTTATTTGCACTTATGCACATATTTTAGTTTGTTATAATAATTTAGTGTTAGCCAGTGCAGGTGCTATGTATGTTGATGAGGCACTGTTTCATTGTTTGATATAAATACAGTATGTTATACAAATCTACAAAATGTAAATACAAAGGATATTTCCCTCATTCCAGTGTCATGTATTCTTTTTTCATTAAAGTCGTAGTCTTCAGTACGGACACCAGGTCCATAGAAAGCATAAATATGTTAACAAAAATTTAGTTACACATAAATAGTCTTCACTTTAGAAAGAGTCTCAAAATAGGCTTAATTAGCTATTAGCTATCCACTTAATTAATAATGCATAAATGGATTAATAAGAACTTTGTTCATGGTTTGTTAAGTATGAATAAGCCATAAATAAACAGCTTTTACATGAAACTAGTCATTAGAAGTTAAGCATTAATTAATGTGTTTGTCAGTTGCTTAAAAGTACTTTGTTAATGGTTTGTTACACATGAATAAGAAATGAGAAAACAGCTTTTACAAGGGACTAATCATTAAAAACAAAGCATTCATTAATGCATTGGTTAATTGTTTATTAAGTAAGAGTCATTGTTAATTAATTATTTGTTAGTAGTTACTTACATGTTTGTTCATGTGTAAGTAAGGCTAAATAAGATGTATTTATTATAAAGTGTTACCAAACATTTTAATGAAGATTTTAACGTTTTAATGAACATTTAAACGTTTTAATGAAGATTTTAACGTTTTAATGAAGATTTTAACGTTTTAATGAACATTTAAACGTTTTAATGAACATTTTAACGTTTTGATGAACATTTTAACGTTTTTAAAAAGTGAAGATTTTAACGTTTTAATGAAGGTTTTAACATTTTAATGAACATTTAAACGTTTTAATGAACATTTTAACGTTTTGATGAACATTTTAACGTTTTTAAAAATGAAGATTTTAACGTTTTAATGAAGGTTTTAACATTTTAATGAACATTTAAATGTTTGAATGAACATTTCAACATTTTCATGAACATTTAAACGTTTTAATGAACATTTTAACGTTTTTAAAAATGAAGGTTTCAACGTTTTAATGAAGATTTTAACATTTTAATGAACATTTTAACGTTTTAAAAATGAACATTTTAACGTTTTAATGAACAGTTTAACGTTTTAATGAAAAATTTAACGTTTTAATGAACATTTTAACGTTTTAAAAATGAACATTTAAACGTTTTAATGAAGAATTTATTGTTTTAATGAACATTTTAACGTTTTAATGAACATTTTAATGTTTTAATGAAGATTTTAACATTTTAATGAAAATGTAAACGTTTTAATGATGATTTTAATGTTTTTAAAAAACGAACATTTAAACGTTTTAATGAAGATTTATATTCAACAAGCATATATATATTCTGATATATATCAGACATATATATCTTGTTTCTACATGATATCAGGAGGAGACTGCTTGTTTCTTTATGATGTCAGAGGCAGACTGCTTGTTTCTTTATGATGTCAGAGGCAGACTGCTTGTTTCTTTATGATGTCAGAGGCAGACTGCTTGTTTCTTTATGATGTCAGGAGACTGCTTGTTTCTTTATGATGTCAGAAGGAGACTGCTTGTTTCAATAATTGAACATTTTAACGTTTTAATGAACATTTAAACGTTTTAATGAAGATTTTAACGTTTTAATGAACATTTAAACGTTTTAATGAACATTTTAACTTTTTTAAAAATGAAGATTTTAACGTTTTAATGAAGGTTTTAACATTTTATTGAACATTTAAATGTTTAAATGAACATTTTAACGTTTTCATGAACATTTAAACGTTTTAATGAACATTTTAACGTTTTTAAAAATGAAGGTTTCAACGTTTTAATGAAGATTTTAACATTTTAAAGAACATTTTAACGTTTTAAAATTGAACATTTTAACGTTTTAATGAACAGTTTAACGTTTTAATGAAGAATTTAACGTTTTAATGAACATTTTAACGTTTTCATGAACATTTTAACATTTTAATGAACATTTTAATGTTTTAAAAATGAACATTTAAACGTTTTAATGAAGAATTTATTGTTTTAATGAACATTTTAACGTTTTAATGAACATTTTAATGTTTTAATGAAGATTTTAACGTTTTAATGAAAATTTAAACGTTTTAATGATGATTTTAATGTTTTTAAAAAACGAACATTTAAACGTTTTAATGAAGATTTATATTCAACAAGCATATATATATTCTGATATATATCAGACATATATACCTTGTTTCTACATGATATCAGGAGGAGACTGCTTGTTTCTTTATGATGTCAGAAAGATACTGCTTGTTTCTTTATGATGTCAGGAGACTGCTTGTTTCCTTATGATGTCAGAAGGAGACTGCTTGTTTCAATAATTGAAGATTTTAAAGTTTTAATGAACCTTTAAACGTTTTTAAAAATGAACATTTAAACGTTTTAATGAAGAATTTAACGTTTTATTGAATATTTAAACATTTTAATGAACATTTTAACGTTTTTAAAAATGAACATTTAAACATTTTAATGAAGATTTTAACGTTTTAATGAACCTTTTAACGTTTTAATGAAGATTTTAACGTTTTAATGAACATTTAAATGTTTTAATGAACATTTTAACGTTTTGATGAACATTTTAACGTTTTTAAAAATGAAGATTTTAACGATTTAATGAAGGTTTTAACGTTTTAATGAACATTTAAATGTTTAAATGAAAATTTTAACGTTTTCATGAACATTTTAATGTTTTAATGAACATTTTAACGTTTTTAAAAATGAAGGTTTCAACGTTTTAATGAAGATTTTAACATTTTAATGAACATTTTAACGTTTTAAAAATGAACATTTTAACGTTTTAATGAAGATTTTAACGATTTAATGAACATTTAAACGTTTTAATGAACATTTTAACGTTTAGATGAACATTTTAACGTTTTTAAAAATGACGATTTTAACGTTTTTATGAAGGTTTTAACATTTTAATGAACATTTAAATGTTTAAATGAACATTTTCACGTTTTCATGAACATTTTAACGTTTTTAAAAATGAAGATTTTAACGTTTTCATGAACATTTAAACGTTTTAATGAACATTTTAAAGTTTTAAAAAATGAAGGTTTTAACGTTTTAATGAAGATTTTAACATTTTAATGAACATTTTAATGTTTTAAAAATGAACATTTCAACGTTTTAATGAACATTTTAACGTTTTAATGAACATTTAAACATTTTAATGAACATTTTAACGTTTTAAAAATGAAGATTTAAACGTTTTAATGAAGATTGTAACATTTTTAAAAATGAACATTTGAACATTTTAATGAAGAATTTATTGTTTTAATGAACATTTCAACGTTTTAATGAACATTTTAATGTTTTAATGAAGATTTTAACGTTTTAATGAAAATGTAAACGTTTTAATGATGATTTTAATGTTTTTAAAAAACGAACATTTAAACTTTTTAATGAAGATTTATATTCAACAAGCATATATATATTCTGATATATATCAGACATATATACCTTGTTTCTACATGATATCAGGAGGAGATTGCTTGTTTCTTTATGATGTCAGAAAGATACTGCTTGTTTCTACATGATATCAGAAGGAAACTGCTTCTTTCTTTATGATGTCAGAGGCAGACTGCTTCTTTCTTTATAATGTCAGAGGCAGACTGCTTGTTTCTTTATGATGTCAGGAGACTGCTTGTTTCCTTATGATGTCAGAAGGAGACTGCTTGTTTCTTTATGATGTCAGAGGCAGACTGCTTGTTTCCTTATGATGTCAGAAGGAGACTGCTGGTTTCCTTATGATGTCAGAAGGAGACTGCTTGTTTCCTTATGATGTCAGAAGGAGACTGCTTGTTTCTTTATGATGTCAGAGGCAGACTGCTTGTTTCCTTATGATGTCAGGAGACTGCTTGTTTCTTTATGATGTCAGAGGCAGACTGCTTGTTTCTTTATGATGTCAGGAGACTGCTTGTTTCCTTATGATGTCAGAAGGAGACTGCTTGTTTCTTTATGATGTCAGAGGCAGACTGCTTGTTTCCTTATCATGTCAGAGGCAAACTGCTTGTTTCAATAAATGAACATTTTAACGTTTTAATGAACCTTTAAACGTTTTTAAAAATGAACATTTAAACGTTTCAATGAAGAATTTAACGTTTTATTGAATATTTAAACATTTTAATGAACATTTTAACGTTTTTAAAAATGAACATTTAAACATTTTAATGAAGATTTTAACGTTTTAATGAACATTTTAACGTTTTAATGAAGATTTTAACGTTTTGATGAACATTTTAACGTTTTCATCAACATTTAAACGTTTTAATGAACATTTTAACGTTTTTAAAAATGAAGGTTTTAACGTTTTAATGAAGATTTTAACATTTTAATGAACATTTTAACGTTTTAAAAATGAACATTTTAACATTTTAATGAACAGTTTAACGTTTTAATGAAGAATTTAACGTTTAAATGAACATTTAAACGTTTTAATGAACATTTTAACGTTTTAAAAAGTGAACATTTAAACGTTTTAATGAAGAATGTATTGTTTTAATGAACATTTTAACGTTTTAATGAACATTTTAATGTTTTAATGAAGATTTTAACGTTTTAATGAAAATTTAAACGTTTTAATAAAGATTTATATTCAACAAGCATATATATATTCTGATATATATTAGACATATATATCTTGTTTCTACATGATATCAGGAGGAGACTACTTGTTTCTTTATGGTGTCAGAGGCAGACTGCTTGTTTCTTTATGATGTCAGAAGGAGACTGCTTGTTTCATTAAATGAACATTTTAACGTTTTAATGAACCTTTAAACGTTTTTAAAAATGAACATTTAAACGTTTTAAAGAAGAATTTAACGTTTTATTGAATATTTAAACATTTAATGAACATTTTAACGTTTTTCAAAATGAACATATAAACATTTCACTGAAGATTTTAACGTTTTAATGAACTTTTAAACGTTTAAATGAACATTTTAACGTTTTGATGAACATTTTATTGTTTTTAAAAATGAAGATTTTAATTTTTTAATGAAGGTTTTAACATTTTAATGAACATTTAAATGTTTAAATGAACATTTTAATGTTTTCATGAACATTTAAACGTTTTAATGAACATTTTAACGTTTTTAAAAATGAAGGTTTTAACGTTTTAATGAAGATTTTAACATTTTAATGAACATTTTAACGTTTAGATGAACATTTTAACGTTTTTAAAAATGACGATTTTAACGTTTTTATGAAGGTTTTAACATTTTAATGAACCTTTAAACGTTTTTAAAAATGAACATTTAAACGTTTTAATGAAGAATTTAACGTTTTATTGAATATTTAAACATTTTAATGAACATTTTAACGTTTTTAAAAATGAACATTTAAACATTTTAATGAAGATTTTAACGTTTTAATGAACCTTTTAACGTTTT